TGGGTCCTCGCGTGTTTACAACCCAACACTAGTGCGCCACGCTCGCGCGAGCGAGCGATAATACAGAATTGGGGGAGGTCGCGGACAGCGCATTCCACAAACGAACGCGCGAGAAACAAACGAAACCAAACAACGAGAGAGAGAGAAAGGGAGAGAGAGAGAGAGAGAGAGAGAGAGAGAGAGAGAGAGAGAGAGAGAGAGAGAGAGAGAGAGAGAGAGAGAGAGAGAGAGAGAGAGAGAGAGAGAAAGCTGCGGAGAGCCGTGTCGCTTGCTCTCCTCCGCTGATACCTTCTTTTTTTTTCTTCACGTCGATGCTCTTTTTTTTTGTTGGCCGTTTTTACTCGTGACGGCCGTGGAACGAATGGCACAGGGAGGAAGTAAGCGACGTGTTGCACTGGATGGTGCTGATCCCGGTGACGCTGCTGCTGTGCCTGCTCCCGCTGGCGAAGCTTACCCTGCCCATGTTCGCGCAGATGGCCTGTCTTCAGGGACAGGTGTGTGTGTGTGTGTTTTTTTTTTTTTTCTTATTAGCATCGACCGCGCTAACCGGCTGACCAATGAAAATACGCCAGTCTCAAGTGCGGTGGAAAACACAAAACGCTTCTAAAGGCCACAATCTGGGACCCTGTGACCGAGCGTCATGGGGGAGTCTACGCTACTCTCTGGATGAAAGACAGACAGATACCGTAGCAGTAACAGAAGAAAACTGCACGTGTTTACCTCGGCTGCTGCTACTTTGGACACGTGTATGCGCGCGTCATTAAGTGTTGGCATCAACCGCGCGGCTAACCAGCTGACCAATGAAAATTCGTCAGTTTTGTAGCAGGATATAAAGCGCGAACACGGTTTCATATCAAAGGATTCCACCGACATGTGCGCGTGTGTGTGTCTTTGTTCGTGGCATCGACCACGCTAGCCGGCGTTTGCCAATGAAAATACGTCAGTGTGTGTGATGGTGCAACCGCGAAGCTTTCGTGTGTGTTGTTTTGTTGCTCGTGCCCTCCTTCGTCTGCTGTCGTCGGCGCCAGCTTGGTCTCTTTCCCCCCCCCCCCCTCTCTCTCTTGCCTTCAGCCACCGTGGGAGGTGGGAGGTGGAGTCGGTGTAGGTTGTCGCTGTCCCCGACGATGAGCCGTACAACTGCTGTGTACATGCTCGATTTTTGGGACGGATGGAGGCTTGCATTTTTCGGTTTCGGTTTCCTCGATTGCGGTGGGTTTCATGTTTTTGTTGCTCGCCCCGACCGCGCTGTGTGTGTGTGTGTCTGTGTGTGTGTGTGTGTGTGAGAGAGAGAGAGAGAGAGAGAGAGAGAGAGAGAGAGAGAGAGAGAGAGAGAGAGAGAGAGAGAGAGAGAGAGAGAGAGAGAGAGAGAATTATTTTGTTCTTCTTCCGTTCTTTCGTATTCTCGATCTCGCTTGTGCCCCTCACCATTTTCCCTTGATTTCGTTCTGGTTCTCGTTCTCGTGGACTCAACGAACGAGGTCGGCCGGAACAGCGGCACAACTAGGGGTGTGTGCCCAACGTGCCCCCACACACCCCTCCCTACAACCCATCAAGACCGATTCACCGCGCAACTTCATTTTTTTTTTTTTTGCGTCAGATCGTGTGGGAGCTTGTCAGTGACATGGAGGAGCAGCAGGA